GAGGAGGGGAGAGCCATGTTCAGCGTCTTGGCTTCTTGCAGGCGGCCAGCGAGTGCGGGTCCGGCAGCTCGTCCTGCAGCCCCGAGTGGAGCAGCCAGCTGGAGTTCGGCACCAACCCTGCGGGTAAGGTCCTCCCCGCCTCGCCCCAGCCTCCTGCAGCCTCGCCGGGCTCCGGGGTGGGGGGCAGCAGTGGGGGGCAATGCAGCCCTGGAGCAGAGCATCCCTGAGCCAACCTCCCCCAGGCAGGAGATGCTCAGAGCAGAGGACAAAAGGAGCCTTGTTGCAGAGAGATGAGCTCCCCCCCCAGGCTCATAAATCCCCCAGCACCTCCTTGGCTTGATGCTCAGAGCGTTCAGGCTTCTCCCACCACCTGATCTCACCAGGACGCCTCCTTTTAGGAGCTGAGTAACCGGACTGCAACAGCCTGGGCCCCAGCGGCTTGGTCCGCATCAAGGGTTTGTCCGTTGCTGTCCCTTGGCTTGGCTTTGCCGCTGCGGTGCTGAGCACTGCTGAGCATCACCGAGCAGCGCTGCCCAGGCTCCCTTTCTCTCCCCACGCCCCCTCTGCAGCTGCTGATTTGGTTTTTTCCCCATTCCTGCAGTTATCCACCCCCCCAAACCCAGCTGTTTTTTTTTCCCAGAAGGCAGAAACTTTAATCATATTTTCCAATGGGGAATAAAACCTAAAAAGCATCCAGAAGTCTCACTCCCCATTGCCCTCTCCAGGGGAAGGTCTCATCCTCCCCCGGGGTGGGAGCTGGGAGCGGGTCCCCAGGTCACTCTGGCCGTGTGGGGGAGCACGGGGTCCCCCCTGTGCAGAGCCAGGAGCTGCCCCCAGCGCATGGACCCTGTCCCCAGCAGTCATCACCCGCTTGCTCTCTGCAGATCACCTCCTGGCCGACGACGCGGCGGAGGACCGCAACCTCCACTCGCTCTCCTCCATCGTGGAAAGCATCGCTGTGGAGGACGTGGCTGTGACGTTCCAGGAGGAGCGGGTTCAAAACTGAGCCGGTGCAAACCCCGGCGGCTCTTCGAGCTGGTAACGGGGTGGGAATAAGATGCTGGAAGGGTCCAGCCACTGGAAATCGTATTTACCCCCCCGGCGTCATGGACTGCACCGCTGAAACCCCTCGCCTCCTTTCCCAAGAAACACTCCCGCTCTGCCAGCTGAAAAGAAAAGGGGGGAGCGGTGGGATTTTGGCAGCGCCACGGCCCCGTGCCGGCAGTGGCCTCCGTTCCTGCCAGGGCGGCCACCCGGCTTTGGGCTCTGCTTCGCTCCCCGCCTGGGGGCGATCGGTTTTTGGGGGCCAATGTGTGTGCTGGGTTCGCTTGCTGATTTTTTTTTTCCAAGATGCTCTTTGACCAATGTCTCTCTCCGGCTGGCATCCCACGGGTGCTGAGCCCCGCCGAGGCTGCCCACGCCGTCTTTTCTACTGAACGCTGTGTGGAGTTGCCATTTGATTTTTTTTTTAATTATTATTTTTGCTAACTTATTTGGAATTCTTTTTTTTTTTAAATAAAGGCATTCTTGTTTGAATGGCTCGGGGCTTCCTTTACCACTGTCCTCCCTCCTCTGCACAGGTCTCCCTGAATTCCCAGGCTGGGGATTCCTCCATATCAGAAAATCCAGCTGGACCTCAGCACGGTTGGGAACTGGATGCCCCATGCTTAAATCAGCCCTGCAGAGACCAGTGATTTCACTGGTTTGCAACAGGGGCTCAGCCCTGGACCACAAAAACTCTCAGGGGAGCTAAAGCTTCATTATATTTTTAATTTGGGCTCTAGAAAGAAGGCTCAAGCCAGCACTGTTTTAAAATCCTGTTTATTGGAACACACATACATCCTTTCCTGACCCTATCCAGGGTTTGGAGTCCATGCAGTACCAATAATATGACGAAAGAAAGAGGGCATCAATATAAAGGGCTCACCGACTCTTCAAATTAAAAAAATATTTAATACTGTATTAGGCAAATAATACACCGAAAAGACATCGTGACTGTAGAGCCTCTCAGATATTGCACTTCCAGACAGCACATGATAAGTATAAGGTCATTCCAGCCATCAATAAATACCACATCAGAAATAGGGGCCACACAAGGCAAACGTGGCATGAGGAGACGAAGAGATCCTACCCTACGGGGGAGAAATGGGAAGAGTTAAGAGCCTCCTGGATTGATCCGTGCCCGTAGCCTGGAGGCAGGAGGGGAGAGCATCTCCTCTGCACCCGGAGGGGAAGGGATGGGCACGTCCTGGGGGGGTGGGTGCCCCCACCGTGCCTCCCCAGGCACCCAAGGAGGGTCCCCTGTCCCCTGGGTGCTGGGTACCGTCCCGGCCGGCAGCGAGCCGTATGGGGCGGTTCCAGCCCTTCCCCACGCAGCCCTTTGTGGGCCCACCATGCAGGTGCAGCCTCCCCCCGCTGCGTGGCATCTGGCAGCACCCCAAAATGCAGCACCCCAACTGCCCACCCCTTGGCAGACAGCCGCTCTCCTCGCCTGGTGATGGCCAGTCCCTGCTCCGTCCCGTGCAGCGCCGACCCTGGCACTGGCTCTGGCCCCTCAGCCCCTCCTGGGGGCAGCTCCTTGCCTGGCCACCCCAGCGTGAGGATTTTCATGAGGCTGAATCTTCCTTGGCTTCGAGTCCTGCGGGCAGCAGTGTCCCTGATGCCTGGGGCTTGGGTGAATCAGTGCAGCAGCCCACAGTGTGTTGGCAACATGAACCAGGCAGGAGAAAGGTTTCCAAATATCACAGCCCACTCTTGGGGGGTCTCTGCCGCTCCGCCGGGTTGCACCACGCTTCTGCCAGCGATGGAGCGGGCACCCAGCGAGCGCATCCATAGCCCGGCCAGCGTGGGAAGAGGTGGGGGACAAGCCACAGGCGGGAGCCATGGGGAGCCAGGGGAAGCAGTGGGGTGCAGAAGCAGAAGGGAGAGCATCCTTGTCAGTCCACGGCAGCGAGACTGCGGCGTCTGTTGGTTTGGGCCGAGGAACAGGCGCAGGCTGGGCTCTTCTCCTGAAAGGCAGCCAGCACGTGGCCGGACGGACAGTGGGGATGTGCTGAGAAACAAAGTGGGAAAGGCCCCATGAGGATGGCAGCTCACCGCCACCTCTGCACCCACAGGCCAACAAACCCAGAGGGAGTCGGTAATGAATGCTCCTGGCAGAGGGGAGCCATGCCCCAGGGCACAGCAGGGTCCCAGGAGCCTCTCTGAAGTGCTTGGCTATCCTTCCCTCAGCCCAGCGGGACCTCCCATCTAGGATGGCAACCTGAGGTCCCCAGTGGAGCTGTCAGTCCGGGGACTGGACAAACCACACGTGGGTGGGATGCTGAGCATGCCTCCTGCATCATCTCAGGGTCCTGTGAGCCTCAGGTAGCAGCGGGCTGCTCCCCCCCCACTGAGGTCTCCATGGTCCTCCATGGCAAGGCAAACCTTGGAGGAGGCAGACACCCTGCCTGGGTGATGCCGGGCAGAGGACGTTGGGCCTTGTGCTCTCCTCTCGGTCCCCATCCAGCTCCGAGGCCTCGGTCCTCCTCGCACTTACCCAGGGCCGGGCTGGTTCCCATCACGCTGACCCTCAGCAGGAGTACGTCCGGACTGTGGAGGTCTCCAGCCTTGGCGACCCAGAGGCACCAACTGGAATTGAGTCAAAGAGCAGAGCACACAATTAGCGACTGCTCCAATTAGCCTTCGGCTTCCCACCAAAACATTTATTAGGCAGCATTTGAGCACTGAAGCCACATGAAGACGAGGGTCAAAGGAAGAGGCACGTTTGGCCAGGTCTGATGTTTCCAAGGCTCCAGGGTATTTGAAAAGTCACCACTTGCCATCCCTACCCTGGGCAGCGAGCTCCCTGCTACCCGTGTCCGCATGCTGGTGGACCTGGGGGGTTTGTCCCAGGTTTCATTGTCCTCAGACAGGTGGGAATTGCAGCTTACAGGGATGGGGTGGAAAAGGTGGAGCAGAAGTTTGACCCAAACCGCTGGATGGAAAGCTGTGAAATTTGAGCAAATCTGGAGATTGGAGGAGAGCTGAGCTCGGGGCTTGGAGTCAGAAGGTGAAAGCACAAGTTTTTAATTTGCATTCAGTCATTTCTGAGTGTGCCGAAGCCAGCTCTGACCCCTGGGATGCAGCAGGTGGCTTGGGACAGCGGCACCAGGGTACCTGGTCCAGGGGACAAACTGGGGTGACCTGGCTGGAGCTTGTGCCTCCCTACAGCTTTGGAAGGGACCAAGATAACTTGTAGAAAGGAGTTGCGTGGTGGTGGGGCAGAGCCTGGGACTTGCATGCTCAGCTGAAACACACAACAGCCAGCAGCACAGGCAGTGTGTCGGAGCAGGTCCCTGCCAGCCCTGGGAGAGTGCTCAGCAGCGCTCAGACTGAATTGAGCTGGTTAATCCAGGCACTTTGGGGATGGTTTCCAAAAGGCAGGGTGGACAGGACTGGCCCGGATTGGGCTTCCTGACAGCCCCCAACGCTACCCCAACAGGCTCTGTCTGACCTGGATGCCAAACCCAGGGTGGGTGACACATATCTCCGCTTCATGCCCTGATCCAGCCCTCTCCCTCATCCTGGCAGCTCAAACCAAAGAAACCACACACCAGACCAGAGTCTGAAATAACCCTCGTGGAAAAAGATTTACAGCAGACAAGGGCTCAAGGCTGACATGGATTCAGTACCACAGGCGATCAGTAAGCCTCCCCCCCCCTCCTCTCTTGGTGGCCCCTCATTCCCCGTGTTCTGCAGGAGGTCTGAGCGGGGGTGGGAGAGGACCCCGGGGAGGAGGGGGTCACCTACCTTCCGGGGGCATTTTCTTGGCAGGGGCGGATGGAGGGGGCAGGGGCACCAGGCTGGTGACGCGGAAGCCAGCGGGCAGCGTCTCGGCCGAGCCACTGAGCATGTTGATGCTGTGAACGTCTCGCGGGCGGGAGCGCGTTATCCTGGTCGGGGTTCGGCGGTA